CTCTCACACCCCTTGCTCAACACTTTGATGCACTTGTGAACACTCTCACAACCCTTGGTGTTTCCCTCCTTGGTGTCTAGACTCTCAAGACCCCAACTCAGCTCCTAACTTGAACTGATTGCTCTCCCTCACGTTCTCCCTTGGTGAGTTAACCTCCTTTGAACACAATAGCACCCAGCTACTTGACCACCTTGAGATTAACCACACTTTGTTTCTGCTTCAGCCACTTCCTCTTATTCAACTTGTTTTCTCCCTTGTGTTATCTTACTTCATCCCATTACCTACACAAGCCAATGGACACAAGATAAGGCACCATCTTGTCATCCACGTTCCTTCCTTTAGTCTCCCACTTAGACTAAAGATCAGATCATGCAAGTAAACAACTCCCACTTCAGCCACCTTCCACTACACCAGAAAATGGAGAGTGAATCTTTCAAAGCAAGACAAACAATTGGCAATGAGTGCTCTCCCAACTATCCAGCAGGTAGTCAACCCTCTTTTACCTCAGAAGTGACCCACTAAGCCTCTGAAATCTTGTGGAAAGCGATAGCCCTCGAAAACACAGTTGAAAACACGTAAGAAAACGTCACAGCACGATTTGGGCGACCGGTCGCCAGGAACTGGCGTCCGGTCGCTTTGGGCAGAGTCGAAACACATTGAATCTGTGCTAGGGCGACCGGTCGCAAATAGCTGGCGACCGGTCGCTCGTCATTTTCGATTCAGACATTGAACCTGCTTCAAAACGACCGGTCGCCCAAACCTTGCGACCGGTCGCTGCCTCCATCACTTGCAACCTTAATGTGAGTCAAATTTCCAACAAATAGTACGATGAGGAGAGCTAGCAGCAGGCAGAGAAGATGCATGCAGAGGAAGAGGCCCGACGATGTGAAGTGGTTGCACAGAATTTGACGAAGAAGAGGACACCTCCGGGACATGAGCAACATTAGCCTCAAAAAATGGGAAAGAATTCTCATCAAACACAACATGACGGGATAAAAAGACTCTATTAGTTTTAAGATCAAGACACCGATATCCTTGATAATTCAAAGAATAACCAAGAAACACACATTTGGTAGACCGCAATTGAAGTTTATTATGATTATAAGGACGCAAATATGGAAAACAAGCACAACCAAAGGTTTTTAAAAAGGCATAATTAGGCTCCTTATTAAATAACTTTTGATAAGATGACTGAAAACCTAGGACTTTAGTTGGAAGGCGATTAATTAAATAAACTGCAGTATGCATGGCCTCAACCCAGTAGGATGGAGGCAAAACGCTTCTCAAGGGACAACCACGTGTCACGAGCAGTAGAGAGACGAGAAACAGTTGAGAGAACAGAAGAGTTGAGAGAGCCATTTATCCAAGACAACACAAGCTGATCTTTTTGAATCCATTCATCATATTCAGGATTAGGAACAGGTGAAGATGGAGCGTCACCTTCTTTGGAGGAAGATCTAGAAATAGTGGGTGGTGGGCAAGAGCTGGAGCCATCAACAAAGGACATAAGTTTTCGGCTTCGAAGGACCGGAACAATCTGAGCAAGCCAACAAGAATAGTTGTTATGGTCAAGCTTTACAGAGATGGAGTTGGAAACACTTGAGAAATAAGAATCAGAAAGGGAAGCAGGAGAAGTCGAAGAAGCCATGATAGGAAGTCGAGAAAAAAATTATGAAAGGAGGGACAGTAAGTCTTAGGCTCTGATACCATGAAAGAGAGTACTTCGAAAACTATTTTCTCTTATTCAAATCAGTGAGTCTTTACATGTTTACAAGGAGATCATTTTATATGGGAGGATCAGAATATTAAAACCTATATCAAGAGAGCTTTTGAGTTGTACAAGACCGACACTATGATAACACTACAATAAACTATTGTTATCTAAAGACACCACTATACTGACACCATCATATTACATTGGGAGGGGGCCCTAATACCTACACCACTACGGAATGTTTAGAGTCATGGACAGTCAATTATTCTTTAGATAGGACAATCTAGAACAAATGTTGACTTCCCCAAGTTACGCATTCTTGATTTGTCTTACAACAATTTCATAGGTGAGATTCCACCTTTGTTTCCAGATATTGCTGTAAACATGTCAACTTACATGCAGGCAGAAGTACACTATGTCGTCACTGGTATTTATCTTACGCGAAGTGTTGCTTACTCAATCACAATAGCAGTTAAAGGTTTGGATTTGCACTATTCGAAGATTCTAGAAGGCTTTGCAGCGATTGATATCTCAAGCAACAAATTTGAAGGTAAGATTCCAGAATTCATTGGGAACCTTAAGGAGCTTCGCTCACTCAATATTTCCGGCAACATTCTCACAGGTTCTATTCCATCATCCTTGGGGAACTTAAGGAAACTTGAATCGTTGGACCTTTCTCAAAACAAGCTCTCAGGGCAGATCCCCCAACAACTGATGCAGCTTTCATTCCTTGGGACCTTTGATGTGTCTCACAACAATCTCACAGGTCCTATACCGCAAGGTACCCAACTTACTTCCTTCAATAGCACTTCATATGAGGGAAATCTTGGATTGTGTGGAGATCCATTACCAAACAAATGCGGAAATCAAGAGGCCCCTCAACCGCCACCTTCAACTGAAGAAGATAATGGTTCAGGCTCAACTGGAATGGTTGAATTTGATTTGAAATTCGGTTTGGCTGGAATTGGAAGTGGGTTTGTAGTGGGAGTTGTTCTTGCGGATGTCGTGATCACAAGAAGGCAGGAGTTGTTTCTTAGGGTCGTTGGAATGGTGAGGCTAATGATATGGAAAAGGTAGAGTGGGGGATGCAGAAGTATAGTTTGTTATAAGGTCATGCATTTGGAGTTGTTTTCTTGTTTTTTCTTTTCCTTCCATGTAACCTTGCTCTATCTTTGTAGTTGTGCTTGTGGTTATGCTATAATTAATGCAAATAAAGGTATTAGAATGTTGCAGTATTTCTGTATTTGGATTCTCTGCATTCATAATGTTTGTAGTTTTCTATGTGTAATATAATTATTTTAATCATAATTGAGCACAAAGTACATTTGATGAAATGAAATTGAAGCTTTCCAAAAGCCTCAGATGAATATACCTACAATAGTTGCTGCTAATTGCGAAGGCAAAAGGAATCTACACAAGTACAAACATTTTTTCTTTTTTTTATACAAGCGATAGTCTACTTTAATCTAATCGAAACTTAGCTAAGCTACACAAGTACAAACTTTAAGTACAATGTAAATCAAGATCAGTTGTCTAAAACCCTATCAAAGCTATGGATTTGCAAAACATTTTTATATGGAGATTGTATACTATACCGTCAATCTAGATAAATTCAGCTCAAATCCAGCAGTTGCTCAATAATGAAGGGAAAAAATTAATGCTATAAGGGCTGGCTGGGGGGGCAGTTTATCTCTTTTTTTTTATCTTTTTTTATTTTTATTTTTATTTTTATTTTATTTTTTATATCTTCAAATGCCAATGGGGTATAACTCAGTTGGTTAGTCCTGATCTCTTGGACTACAGGGGTCCAAGAGATTTGTGGTCACTCACCGTTGGATGCAAATTCAACGATTCACTTACTCTTGCATTCCTTTTAAGAAACTTTTTTGAACCATTAGATTAATATCCAACGGTGGGTGACCATAATCTCTTGGACTCCGGTGGTCCAAGAGATCGGGACTGCTCAATTGGTTGCGCTCCTTCACCCAGACACCCAACGAATATTTATGTATACCTTGTACTAAAAAAAATAAAAAAGTGAAACAATTTAGAAAAGAAAAGAAAAACTGAAATTGGGTGCACCTCTCCCCGCCACATCTGTCCTATTTCTTTTCTCTTCATTTCAAAATGCTTACATAAACAAGCTTTGACTTTCCAGACTTCTCTCGGTAACCAAACTAACATCCTGTAGTTCACAAAACTTTTCACTAAAAAGAGAAACAATGAAATGTTCATGGTCATAATCAAATGCCTAAGCGATTTCCTATTTGAATGAAACTTTATAGGGGCCGATCCTTGAATTATGACTTAAAAAACGAACATTTAGAGTACGCCAACCGGGTGGAGTAAGCACACATAAATTAAATTGAGCTATTGAATTGGCACAAATTAAAGTTTAGGTACCAAATTACAGGAAGCGCTCCCTCTGCATGTCACCAAGTTAGACTGTTCGAACATGACCACCAGCATGAACAAAATTACCTTCAGCAATATAATTTGTGAACATACTCAGCCACAAGCCTTTTGGAATTCAACTTGTTCAATTAAAGACCAACCCTTTTTTGTTGATTTCCTAGCTGAAAATTTGTGTGATGATTATCTGTTCTTGACGTTAACAGAGTGATTAGCAAAGGCCAAAGAGACATTTGATTAAGTACGGTACTCATCTTTTAGCTTGTGATCGAATACCCCCACTATTAGGTAATTGGATGATGACTTGACTTCAAGAAAAATTAACTTCTTAAGTTTGAAAATAAGGTACTAGTACAGTGATCCTGATGGAAACTTCATATGTCTTGATGCAGAACAAAGATCACATAACTTCATATATCTGAATGCCATATTTTTCGGGTAATTGGACAAGTTGACTTCAAGTCAAAATGAACTCACTTTAAGTCAAGAACATGTTCTTGCAAGTAGATGCAAATTTCAAACCATCATTGTTCCCCATCCCCATCTTGTTTGAAATTTAATCATGTGCTCCTATTGCTCAATAATTTGAGTCCAATCTATAAATTATAACTCTCTCACATTTTCACTTCCATGCATGCTTTACCACATGGAACCCAACTGACTTTGTTCAAAAGCTCTTCATATGAAGGAAACCCCGGCTTGTGTGGGGATCCACTGCCTAAGAAATGTGGAAATGCTGAGACCCCTCAACTGCCACCTTCAAGCAGAGAAGAAAACGATTCGGGCTCTAGAATTGGATTTGATTATAAATTTGTTTTGGCGGGGATCGGGAGTGGGTTGGTAGTGGGAGTGGTTCTTGCGGACATTGTGATCACAAGGAGGAAGGAGTTATACCACATGACAGTATTCCAGTACCAGGCTAACACAAGAGTGTCCACTCTTGACAGCACTACGCGACAAACCAAGAGGTCAAGTGGGCTATAAAAACTGGGCTTTACAAATTTCCAGTCCGTCTGGTTTGTGGTCTTGAATTTCGGCCAAGCTTTTGCATGTCTTAAAGTTTTGCCATTTGCAAATGCCAGTTTTGGGCTGAAAACCCAATTTTGGAGTTTGCCTGCTGGAAGATGGCCCAACCGAGCAGCAATCCTATTCTGTGAACAAACGAAAACAAAACAAAACAAAAAAAAAAAAAAGCAATCGTTGGGTTCAAACAGAATCAGTCTATACGGCTTTTATTGGGGTGGTGGTTCCTCAGAGATCCTCTCTCTCTCTCTCTCTCAAAAACCACTTTCCAATTCCCTCACTCCAAAACCTCTCTCTTATGTCCCAAATTCAGACCACCGAAAACCTAACTTTCCACTGTTGAACTTTTCACCGTCTTCTATCCATTTTTTATTTTAATTTTTTTTCTATTATTGCGGATCCTACTTCTGTGCTCTAGAGATGGACATTGAGCAAAAGCAAGAAGAGATCATCGATCATTTCGTGAAGCAAGCCTCGTCTCTCGAAGGCTCTGCCCTCGGGTCCCTCGTCGTCGAAGCCACCTCGCACCCTTCTCTCTTCGCCTTCTCCGAGATTCTCGCCGTTCCTAATGTTCTTCAGGTTTCTTTTCTTTTTCTTTCCTTCTCTGTTTTGTTGTGAATTTTCCTTTTCTGCTCTGTGGTGGTAGAAACTAAGAATGAATGGAGAATTTGAATGTTAAGTTAGGAAATAGGAGATGATATCCTCACTGCTACAACTGGTTCTTTTTTTTCCCAATTAATGATGGCCAATGGATGTGGTAAAAAAAACTACTACTGTTTCTTTTAATGTCCCTGGAGTTTGGCTGAAATGATACCACTCCATAACATTTAATCATTTTCATTTCCACTACAATAATTTCCAAAATTTCGGAGCATATAATGTCTTTAGAAATTATCTGTTAAATGTTGACCATTTTAAAAGGGAACCCAGCTATAATTTTATGCGCCATTGCCTCAATGAAGTATATACAATTTAATCTCAAAGGCCAACTTTGTCATTTGGAGAATGTTTTTGTATAAAATCATCAATCTTTGGATGAAAAATCAATGAAAATGAGTTTTAGTGTAAATAATTTTTTTATGAAAAAGACGAAAACCTCAAGGGGTGTTAGTGTAAATAACTTTTTTTATTTGTTGTTTTAGTGTAATTTTGAATAATTTCTTCTCTGTTTTAATTGTTTCTCATAATTTTTCATATTCGTAAAATACCTAATATCCAGGTAAGATATATTCAACTCCGTACCTAGCAAACTCGTAAAATATCTTTCTTTTTTTTTTGGATGAGATCCAAGGGTGTCCATCGCCGACAGTAGTGACTAATCCCTTTCGCCGCGGGAGCTCTCCAAAGGAGGTAAACAGCTGGTCACGAAATGCGCTCCATTCCCATGGGCAGGGATCGAACCCCCAACCACATGGTTAAGGAATGAGGTGAGTTACCACCACACCACATCTCATTGTTAAAAAAAAAGACGTAAAATATCTCTTTGATGCACCTATATACTCCGCATATTACCTATTGACCTAATACCTAGCCAGTAGATAAAGTTGAAAATGATGTATCATGTACCTCCATTGCAGGTAAGGGGACATATTCAACTCAATAGGTATAAATATAATCCCATGCAATTGTATATTTTCGATACTGTTCTAGAATACATGCAATTGTATAGCCATATATATACTCGCATTACACAGTAGAATAGAATAGAATTCTATCTATTGGATAGAGCAGTACTACTTTCAAACTTGGTGTAAAGGTATGGACCCTTAAATCCTTTTGGGGAAGCTTTTGACTCAAATGTGATTCATAAAGCATCCAAGTTTTATATTGGTATGAGTACCTTAATGGAAATATTTCTAATAGACTTGCAGGATGAATTTGAGGTGAAGTGGTGTAACAACATCTTGGCTATGTCCCTTAATATTAATGGAAGAAAACCAACTTTGAAATGTCTGCATTGTGAGAATATCTTGTCAGATATCCCTTTATGGAAGAGGTCAGCTTTGTATGTGTCTATGCATTGTGATATTTAGGCTGCACAGTCCTGTTCTCATGGCGGTGGATAATTCTGCCTTTCTCTGTCATGGTGGTGTGTTGTTTGGTTTCTCAGTTTTATCTTAAATGTTTTTTTGATTTATTTTTAATAACCGAAATAGTGTTTTGATATTGGAGAAGTAAAAAATGATGATATTTAAATCAGTTTTATTTCTTGGACCACAATTTCCTTGGGTCCTAGGGTGCAAGAGAACGGGATTGTCAAGCTGCAATAGCCCAAGCTCATAACAGAACTTAAAATGGGAAAAACAACATGCTTGAGACTGGGGTGATATCCTTAGATTTTTTTATGTAAGAGGTGAACTTGATTGATCCTCTGACAAAATCACTATGTCGAAAGCTAGTGAGTGATACATTGAGGGGGATGGGGACTTATGCAAGTATCAGTGGTCAACAGTTGATGTGTAGGTTCATATGGGTAAGAACAAGTAACTCGTTGATCGGGCCTGCACTATCAAATTTATACGACTAAGAATTCTTCCCTATGGTGTAGATAGTGAGGTTGGACTTATAGGTGGGGTACTTGATTACAGTGCACTATTGATGGATTCACCTATAAGAGTGTGGAAATGCAACCGCTTCCTATGAGAGC